TTCTTATTAAGGAAGAAACTAGTACTGTCATTATACATGTTATATACACACACCCACACACACATATGTATTTAATTATAAGTAGTGGGAAATATAATCTTTAAAACAAAATACAATTTTATAGTTTATTGTTTGACTTAAGTAGAAATAGCATATCAGCAATATGGAATTATAGATGATCATAAAGAATAATAACTTTGAAAGTTGTCCAGTTCTGGAATAAGAAGTTAAGAGCAGATTTTATTGGTGTACCCAATAAACTTGTGTGGAAGAAAGAACTTTTGCTGTTAGATGCAGAAACTCAGATTTAATGCTTGGCTCTGTGTTTGTTGTTATATGACTTCGGGCAAGGTATGCACTAACCTCACTGGGCCCACCTGTTCTGTGGTCAGAGGTGCGTTTGTGTGAGAGAACGTAAGGGAGGAGCTTAGTGCCACACACCTGTGGGTGACCTGTGACCAGCTTTCCTTACTTTCTCAAGCACCATACCCTGTTAATTTAAAAAAAACAATAAGTGAAAGCATGAAAGGTTTATGAGAAATTATTTCAGCTGTCAAACTCATGAAGATCCTATGCATTTTAGAAAATAAACTTTGCTTTTTGGGAGCCATATAAGGCAGTATTTTATAAACTTTGTGGAGTGTTCAGTTGAGAAGCAAAAATGCTGTTTGAATTGTGATATACATGTTAAGGACATAATGACAGTTTCTTCCTAAGAAAGAGTGATTTATAGGGGCGCCTGGGTGTCTCAGTTGGTAAAGCGACTGCCTTCGGCTCAGGTCATGATCCTGGAGTCCCAGGATCGAGTCTTGCATCGGGCTCCCTGCTCGGTGGGGAGTCTGCTTCTCCCTCTGACCCTCCCCCCTCTCATGCTGTCTCTATCTCATTCTCTCTCTCAAATAAATAAAATAAAATCTTTAAAAAAAAGTGATTTATGTTTTTAAAGATTTTTATTTTATTTATTTGAGAGAGAGCACAGAGGGAGAAGGAGAAGCATACTCCATGCTGAGTGGAGAGCCTGACGTGGGGCTGGATCCCAGTGCCCCAAAATAGTGATTTATGTTTAACAGAAAGTGGAGAGAATAGTTCCTATGGTTAGCTTATTCCCTCCCACTGTCTAGGATTCAGTTTGCCATAAAGGCTGAACACTATGCTCTTTTGTATTTCATTGGTGGTCTGAAAGTTCATTTTGGATTTAATTTTTTGCTTGAAACCTCAAGAATACTACGGAAATGCCTTTGGCTAAGGGAAATGAAGTCATAATCCATTCTGAACTCTAGTTTAGTGATAGGGAACACTAATGAACTGCTATAAACATAGCTATCAGGAAACTGAATCCAAGTATTCATGTTAACTCCTGAAAACAGATAGGTATTTGGCAATTTCCTATCCCAGGGACAGCTCTGTAGAGTGTTTTCGGTGGATAGCAAATAATACATTAAAATGCTTGTCGGGACGCCTGGGTGGCTCAGTTGGTTAAGCATCTGCCTTCAGCTCAGGTCATGATCCCAGGGTGCTGGGATCGAGCGCCGCGTCGGACTCCCTGCTCAGCGGGAAGCCTGCTTCTCCCTCTGCCTGCCACTTCCCCTGCTTGTGCTGTCTCTCTCTCTCTGTGTGTCAAATAAATAAATATATAAATAATCTTAAAAAAAAAATAAAATGCTTCTCAGTGGGCGCCTGGGTGGCTCAGTCAGTTAAGTGTCTGCCTTCAGCTCGGGTCATGATTCCGGGGTTCTCTCTCTCTCTCTCTCTCTCCCCCCTCTGCCTCTCCCCCCACTTGTGTGCATGTGTGCTCTCTCTCTCAAATAAATAAATAAAATCTTTAAAAAAAACAAAATACTTGTCAAAGTGACAAGCCTGTAAATATGCTGTGGGGAAACACTACCCTGTGTTTTGTAAGGTGGCTGTTTTCTACGTACGACCCAGACCAAGTTAGAATTCATGGATGCACAATTTAGAAACTTAAATCCTTTCATAGCATTAGCAGAATTCTTGTATAAAGCCTATAAAAACTCTACTGGCACCTCTTCAGTTTCCTGATAATGACAGCATCTCAGTGGTGATCATGTTAAAGTTTCATGGAGACTAAAATTCTCTGCCAGATTGGGTGTGAAAAGAACGTATAGGTACAAATGCCATTTAGCCATTAGCTGGGTTCTCAGATCAAGTCTAGAAACACGTTCTGTAACCATAAAGGCCAAAGATTTTCCGTTCATCTGTTTGCCTTTTTTTTTCCTTTTCTTTTTTTCTTTCTTCCTCCCTCCCTCCCTCTCTCTCTGTCTCTCTCTTTCTTTCCTCCTTCCCTCCCTCCCTTCCTTCCTTCCTTGTTTCAACTGGAGCTGTCACTTAGACCCCTAGAATACATTGAGTTTTAAGGAAAGTCAGGCATTGCTTCTCACCTGAATGAGATGTTTTTAAAAATGATTACTGATGGTATGGGGTTCACAGATGATTTCTCTTGTTGAAGGTGACAGAACACCGCCTAGAGGAATCATGATGGAAACCTGACGGGACGGTTGGCAGGCTCCCTCCATGCTGGTGAATGCATTCTGTGTGATCTTTTCACCTTTAGGGATCCCTGTGTTTCTAAGAGACCTAAGGCTTCTAAGAGAGTTTGCCTGCCTGCATAATCCATTTCCCCTGTCTTCTCAAAGCTCCAGTCAGAGCTTCGGCTGGCACTAGAAGGGTGCCCCTCCTCACCATCTCCTCTCCTGCTCCGGGTTCTCTTGCCTGGACTGTTGCCAGAGCTGCTAAATGCTCTCCCTCCTCCCACCCTTACTCCTTTGCTCAGAGGCCAGAGTGGTCTTTTAAAATATCAGTAAGACCCGATCATTCCTCACCTTGAAATGCTCCATTGCATTTAAAATAAAATCCAGCTACATAAACCAGCTTACCAAGACCCTCACATCTGGTCCTTGCTCACATCTTCCACTACTGCACCTGCTGGGTCCCAGCCACCTTCACCTTCTTTTCATTTCTTGACCCACACCAAGCTCATTTTGTTCTTCGGACCTGGACACAAGTCTTTTCTGGAAGGTATTATCCCAAACCCCGTGCCTTCACGGGGCAGGTGCTTCTCGATGTTGGAATGTCGGCTTAAATATCCCCTCCTTGGAGAAGCCCTCCCTAAACACCCAATGTAAGCAGCCGCCATCTACTTTAGATTGGATTATCTAATAACATCTGTCTGTAGCTGACAATTTTTTTTTCTCCTTCAAGTAGAACATAGGCTCCCGTGGAGCAGAGACCCTTTGTCTTTATCTGATGTATCCCTAGGCCTCAGAACAGTTATTTAGGAAATGTTGTCAAAGGAATGTATTAATGCCTGAAGAAATGATGTAGCCTGTATTACTAGCCTTAACCAATAAATTTCCGACCAAAAGTAAGGAAATTTGGTGAGTGTGTGCAGCTGTGTCATTGCCATAAATGTATACTTTACTTTAAAATAGCAGAACAAACTCTCAGACCTATAATGTACTACTCTTCCCCAGCCTCCGGAGTTCAAGAACCCCAGTCTGGGAACTCAGCTTCTTTTATCAGAGTGATCAAAACACAGATGTCCTGGAACAGAGACTGAACTGGTTCTTCTGCCACTCTCTCTTATTGATTTAATTTGCAAGTGGTTTGTCCCCTCAGGAACCTGCCTGTCTTATTAGTGCTGTCACTGAACTCTGTTCACTAACTGAAGCCCATATATATATATATATATATATATATATATATATATATATATATATATATAGCAGTCAGCTGCTTCCTTGGTTTATTGAAAAGTATTTGGGGGGCTTGTGGGAACAACCAAATAATCTTGCTATTTCAAAGATACGTGGGATTTTATGCCCTGGTGTTTGGCACCCCTTGGATTAGAAAATACGAATACATATTGATAAGGTGAACATACTCATAATCATCATCTCTATCTATATTCTAAACTGCATTTGTTAACTATTCTGCTTCACACATAGCTCTAAACATTTTTGAGCTTGAAAAGCTCAAAGCTTACCAAAAATTAACCAGGTTTTTCCAATGTATTACATAAACTAAGAGTTTTTTTCTTCAGCTTTTTTGGATGATCTGGGTAAAGTATTGCTTCAGTGACATAAAACCGTAATTGAGTCAGTTAATGAAGCCTTCAGCTGACCGTGTGGTGGTGGAGAGGCCAGCTTTCTCTCGCATGCCATGATTGCCTGCCCTAGTTGCATTATGCCCTGGGGGCCAGTGGGTAAGATCAGTATCTGTCGTCTTTTATCTTAAAGGGCAGAATTTCTGTAGATTTCATGCTATTAATACAACAGTATCTCTGGCCCTCAGGAAGACTAGAATTTCAGAATTTTAGAACAGAAGAGGAGATGCATTCCATTGAGGTCACAGAGCATGTGGCCCACTTGAGTCTGGTTTGTGTCCTTCTGGCCCAGCTGGGTGCCTCTCCTGCACTTTGATTTATCCGTGATTTCCCTTTGTCCTCCTGAAGTAGCCAGTGATTTTTACTTGCACCTAACGTTTAAAACGAGTCATTTCATTTGGGATAGAAGGTTCACCCCGATGATTTTTCCATCAAAGGAGGGTTATTTCCTGCGGAAGCCCTCTCTACCCCTGCAGCCTTGTTGAAAGCCCTCTTCTCTGGGCTTGCTTCTCACATCCTAGGCGCTGTGGTTGGTTTGCTTCTCAGGGTCACCTGTCAGATGTATACTCCTTGAAGCAGGGGACTGTGGTCTTTTTTTTTTTGGTCTTATTTTTTAAATTCCCAACTCTGAATTGTAGATGTGCTGTGCTGTCATGAAATCTTTGTCTCCATAAAGATGGATCTCGGTAATCCTGGCAGGTTTACAGTCGTCATGGTGAAAGTAAATTTTGAGTGATCGTGTCATCTTTGTAGAAATTCCAGGTTTCTGCTTCTGTAATCGTAAAGTCAGCCAATAGGAGTTGGTATATTGGCTTATAGGAGTTGAAGTTAGTATGGCCCAAAAGCTTATTTGAAAAAAAGAAAAGAAAACAAAACTATCCATCGTCCCTGCTGCTAGTCAGAAACACTTAGCGTCTCGACTCTCTGTTGTCAAGTTTTCAAAGATATTTGGTAATGACCAGTCCTGAATCCCCCTGTTTTGTGCTTTGAGGAATAACCGGTCCACTGCTGCCCCATCGAGGCCTCCTTGCTTTATCAGGTTGGTCTAACTTTGAGCCAAAACAATGAAGAAGTCCAGCTGACCCCTTCTGGTGTTAGTCCTTGTGGCCGCCAGCGTGGTGGTCTCTGCAATGCCACGGAGTCTCCTTGGCCTGATCAGACAGCCTCACGGGACCTGACTTCTGCTTAGCTCGTCTCATCACCCCTCACCACCCCCCGCACACCCGTTATGTCCCAGCTGCAGCAGACAAGTAAGTGCAGCTGATTTTTCACACTGCTCTGCCCTTGTCTGATGAGTAACCTCTGGATAGAACTCTCTGCTGCCTTCCTCCTTTGCACAAACTCAAGAGGTGCAGAAGACTGGCATGACAAAGACTGAGTTGGGAGTGAGGAGAGGGGTGCTGTTGCAGTTCCTAGCATGAGTAGCTGGACAGATGGAAGCCCACCTACTGACATGCGGAAGACCGCAGTAGAACAGATGGGCTGGGAGCGTGGGGGCATCAAGGGTTTGGATGGAAAAATGTTCAGTTCGGGTGCCTCTGAGATATCCAGGTAAGCAAGGTAGGAAGTTGAATGCTATATATGGATCTGTAGCTCAGGGAGGTTCCAAACTGAGGAACTTCTATTTTGGAGCTGTAATTTTATTTGAAGTGAGATGGAGGAGCTCTCCAAGAAAGAGGGTTTAGAGCATGTGATGGACTCCTAGAGAGCTAACAAGTTTAGAAAGAGAAAATAGGAAATAGGCCATGAAGAAGCCAAGGGAAATTAGAAGGAGTAGCCAGAACAGATAGGAAAATCAAGAGTGCCCAAAGCAGAGAATTCAAAGATGAGAAGGGATGTCACCTGGGATTTATTGGCTTGTAGGGAGGTCATTGGTAACCTTAGTGAGGTATACTAGAATAATGGGAGACACCCTGAAGAGTGAGTGGGAGGGAGAGTGTGGTGACCACATGGGAAGACAATTCCTTCTATAAGCATGGCTCTAAATAGGTAGGACCGTACTGGAGGGGGAGGGATGGTGGGTGTGGAAGAGTAGAGTGTGAGTGAGCCCTAGAGCAGGCTGACTTGGTTTTCTGTGGTGTTTTGGGTTTTTTTTAAGCTGGATGGTACTAGGGCCTTTTTTTCCCTTCTTCTAATGCAAATAGGCAGAATCCAGTAGAAACGCCAGGAGATATTACCATCTTATAGTTTGCTCACAATTGATGGTGGATACTATTCCATAGTCACAAACATTGACATTTATATACTAAGTTCTCTTCTCCTATGAATTTATATTTGAAATATAAGAGGAAACAAACTTGCTTTAAAAAAAAAAAAATTGTCCATTTTAGTCTTACATCCCTGAAGGTAGGTAAATGGTATAAAGGGTTTTTTGTTTTGTTTTGTGTGTTTTTTAACAAAGTGTTTGGTTATTCAGTAGGAATCCTGTTTTATGCCTAAATGACAGAGATTTACATTGAGCATTTTCCTACCTGAAGTCCTTGCTAGGTTGGTGTCTTTTAATATGAGTGAATTTTAATACCAGCAAGAGAGGGAGGTAAATTTGAATAGAGAAGCTAATTAAGCGGTCATTTAGTTAGGAGATGGAGATTTTAAAATGCTAGTTCTAAAAGTGGAAAACATGAGGACAAATTGACTTTTTTTCTTCTATGGAATAGAAAAGTGGAGCTGAAAAGGAAGAAAGCCATGACCAATTTTTATAGTTGAAACGGACTGGGGATTGGGACCGTGACTTCATTTATACCTGCATGGGGCCTCCTTGGAGGCTCATCACTATTTCTTAATTTCTTAGTCATTTACTAAATCTCTCCCTGGGAGAGGCATAATGAATACAGTTCCTGTTTCTTGAAAAGATGGAGGATTCCTCTTGCCATCCCACTGGAATACTCAAATGAAAGTCTTTACCTCAACTTTTAGGATTCAGAGTTTCTAGAAGTCTAAGCCTTTGCTTTTTTAGCTGAAGTAGAACACAGCTGATAAGGTAAATTTAGTTTCAAGAAAGGGCAGAGTTTAAGCCAAAGCATTTTGTGTCGCTTTCTGTTTAGAATTGCAAGCGATGGTGTTCACTTCTAGTAACTGAAATCATTGACAGCTATGTTTAGTCCGAAGTGAATATATCAGAAGAGGAGGGAGCGTTGGAGTAGAGTTTAGTGAGATGGAAAGGGAAGTGTGCAACTTTAAGGGGCAGGGTCATCCAAGAAAGCAAGGAGTGAGCATGAGAAAAAAGAAAAGCCAAAGCAATGCAAATATCCTACAAATCTGCTTTAAGAAAATGTTTTGGCATTTGGGTACAAGACCAGAAGTGTACACTCTAAAATTATGAAAATAGGAGTTAAAGTTAGAAGTACTATATTTAGATGCTTATGCTTTTAATTGTTTGCCATTTAAAAATCAGTTCATCACTCGCTTGTATTGGCTTGTGGGTAGGGAAGAAGACTTAAAAGTTTTGAAGCTGGATTTACTGATGAAAGCTGTCAGTGTTGTTTACTCATAGGTACAGTATGAACTTATGCCCTTTCAGATATGTAGAGTTATATATTGATTCCAGTGAGACTCCAGAACTACAAAGCTTTACATTTTTAGGGTTTATTGCTCTACTATCTCTCAGCTGCAATGAAGGTTTTATGTTATTACAATTAGTCAAGAAACAGCAACAATTTTCATACATTATATTATGCATGTAGTGCTGGGGAAAATAATATGCTTCAGAAATATTTGACAAGCGCATAGGAGTTTACTCAAGGTTTGAGGTTCTGTGATTTATGTGATCTATGACAAGTAAGGTATCATATGGTATATTTGTAGGTAGAAAATAATGGTAGGTTATTTTATTATTTAAATAGTTGATAGGTGGTTGCTGCGTTCTATTTTGCATTTTATTCAGCTTTTGTAGAGCTGGCTCTCTGCCTTAGGGACAAGTCGTGAAATCAAAGAGAAAAGCAGGTCGCAAAATGGTTTCATGACCAGAACAATAACACCGAAACTCAAAATTGGGATGTTCTTGTACTAATTTTTCCCTTTTAGTTCATGTTTATCGAGGGGCTAAGTTCATGTGTTTAGAAAGATTCCTATTTTAACACACATTGGACAACTTTTTAATGTTTGGGTTGCATTGATATGTCCACCCCAATGGAGTCTATACTAAAACTACATTTGTGTAAAAGTTCCTTATGTTTACAAAGCAAGGAAGCTGAAAGAAGGTGGTGAAAGAGGTGAGAGACTTCTGTAAGAAGACAAACTGTAAGAAGATCTGAGGCTTGGCATCTTTCACTCCTTTCCCCTCACCCACCACACTCCATCATCACTAATTTCTAGGCTGAACCCTTTGTTTCATGGAAGAGGAAGCAGGAGACCAAAGAAATTAAGTCTGTCGTCCAGGCTCACACATGACAACTTATTTGCTGCTAATTATTTTCATGTATTAGATTTATAAAGATTGTACATAGATTTTTAAAGTGAAATGAACTAAAATGTTTATATTTTGAGATATGATTCCGGTTTTGCTTCAGTAACCATTTTGACATCTCATTAAGTTAGAGCTATTTGCCAAAACACACATAATATTCATAGAAAATAGAAGATATTGAAGGTATCCAACATTTTTTAAATATGATTTATATTTATTTATAAGAACTGTCCTGCCTGGGAAGAAAATTAAGCATCTTTTTTTTTTAAGATTTTATTTATTTATTCATGAGCGAGAGAGAGAGAGAGGCAGAGGGAAAAGCAGGCTCCCTGCGGAACAGGGAGCCCAGTTCGGGACTCGATCCCAGGACCCTGGGATCGCGACCTGAGCCAAAGGCTGACGCCCAACCGACTGAGCCACCCAGGTGCCCCTAAGCATCTTTTAAAAATGTACTTTTCTTAGTAGTCATTTGTGTTTTATTTTTTGATTTCATGATCTAGTGATTCTGGTCACTCTTACAGAGATTCTCTAAACCACTTAAACATTTTCTTTTTGAGTTTTTGGAAAACGCTTTGACCCACTGGTAAAAGCATGTGATTAGACTGATAGCATCTATTACCTGTAGGGAGATTTCAGCTCTGAAAGTTGTAACTGAGTTCTGTTTTCCATTAAACATAGAAATACCTACTTTTTCCTCACTTGAGAGATTTCACAATTGCTAAAGACTATAAGGAACAGTTCTTACACACTCACATATGTAGGTGGATATGATAATAGTGGGATTGATTTTATTAGTTGTTCCTCAAATAATTATCCAAATACCTACTGTGGTCTAAGTACTACATTGGTACTGGTACCACACGTAGAGTAGCTATGTAAAAAGGGAATGCCTTTCTCAAGCTGACACTTGAGGAATGGGGAATTGGCCACTTGAAGAGCAGAGGAAAGAATGTTCTCACAGAGAACAGCATGTCTAAAAAACCTGGAAGCAGAAAACCTTGCTGGGCTTTGCCAACCAAAAGGAGATCACGTGGCCAGATCATCGTGGGAGAGGGGGTAGGCAGTGCCACTGGGCATGGATCGGGTGTTGAGGCCTAGGCTTGTGCTAGAAGGCCACGGCAATTAAGAGTTTGGATTTTTCTTCAAGCACATCGGGAAGGTATTAACATGGGTGCTAGGACTAGATTTATGTGTTATGAAGATCAGAATAGAAGTGGGCAGGAATAGACAAGGAAGAGGAAGTTTATTAGGGAGTTCAGGAAAGAAATGGTAGCTTGCATAGTGGCAGGGGACCAATTCCAGATATATTTTGGAAATATGTTTTTATATAGGTATTTGTATATGTATGTGGAAAATTATATATTTTGCAAAATATATTTTGCAAAACCTTTTGTCCTCTGTTAGAGAAAGGAAGGAAAAGGAAATGTCAGGGCTGATTTCTGGAATTCTGGCTTGAAAGAATGGCATTGCCATTTATTGGGGTGAGGAAAAAGAGGGAGGGGAGGAACAGACTTGAGAGAGAAAAATCTAGAGGTACTTGTGAGCTATCAGTGAGAAATGTCAAGTGGGCAGTTGGGTTTGAAACCCCAGAACAGAGGTTCAGACCAGAGGTGTGAGTCTATAAGCAGTTGGCTTCTGGGAAGTATTTAAAGCCCTGGGAAAGTATAGCAATAGCTGGGAGAAAATGTCAAGTGAGAAGAGGAGAGAGCCTGAACTGAGTTTTCCAGAAGATTCCCACATGTAGAGGTTGGGTAAGAAGTAGCCTGGAAAAGAGAATGAGAAGGTGTAGCCTGAGAGATGGGGGAGAAAAGCAGGAGGGTGTGGTGTGTTCTGAACCCCAAGTGAGGGAAAGATGCTGACAAGTTGGGCTGGGGCTGCTAAGAGGTGAGATGAGATGGGAAAAGAAGAGAGTGGGTAGTCCATGGCACTGTCCACCTCAGTGCGAGTCAGACTGGAGTCCTTGCAGGGAGAGGGTAAGGGAGGAAGTAGAAGACAGTGAAGGTCAACACAGTTTTTTGAGAAGCTAGGAGTGGAAAGCAGAGAAATATGGTCATAGCCGATGGAGGATGTGGGCTGGAGGGAAGGCTACTTTGTTTTACTGAGATGGGAACTGCTAGAGCATGACTATATTTTGGTAGAATTTTAGTCTCAAGAATATGTATTAGAATGGCCCTGAGCAAGCGTAGTGCAGTTCCAGGAAGACAGAAATGAATTTCTGCCTCATGGAACAATCTGGAGCAGCAGAGCAGGGGCCCAGGTTGGAAGGGGTGACCCTGGCATCCTCCTGAATTTGGGGCCTCCATGACTGAGTCTATGGTGACCATGTCAATCATTTTTCCCTAGCCAATGAGAAGAGGAAGCCTAGGGCAAGTGCCCTTGCCTTTATGAAGATGACCTAAATACTGGATACATACTCTGTCTTTTCTCATTGGTCCAGACTTCATCACCTGGCCTCAACTCATTGTGGTCTCAAGCTGGGTGAAGGAATACCAGCTAAAACAAAGTTTAATTACTAAAAGGAGGAAGGAGAAAATGGATTCTGAGGAGAGTCCATTTCTTCCACTCCTTGGGGTGAGGAGGGGGGCTACAACACATTTATTTCTGTTTCTAAACCATGGGCAGTACATGACTTAAATTTGGCACTTAATTGAGAGTTCAGCAAATTGAATTGACTATTAAAATTGACCCTCTCCCAGGTCCATATCATAAAAGCCATCTATGAAAAACCCACAGCAAATATCATTCTTAATGGGGAAAAACTGAGAGCTTTCCCCCTAAGATCAGGAACACGGGAGGGATGTCTACTCTCACCACTGCTATTCAACATAGTATTAGAAGTCCTAGCCACGGCAATCAGACAACAAAAAGAAATAAACGCCTTCCGAATCAGCAAAGAAGAAGTCAAACTCTCACTCTTTGCAGATGATATGATACTTTATGTGGAAAATCCAAAAGACTCCACCCCAAAACTACTAGAACGCATACAGGAATTCAGTAAAGTGGCAGGATATAAAATCAATGCACAGAAATCAGTGGCATTCCTATACACCAACAACAAGACAGAAAAGAGAGAAATTAAGGAGTCGATCCCATTTACAATGACACCCAAAACCATAAGATACTTAGGAATAAATCTAACCAAAGAGGCAAAGAATCTGTACTCAGAAAACTATAAAATACTCATGAAAGAAATTGAGGAAGACACAAAGAAATGGAAAAACGTACCATGCTCATGGATTGGAAGAACAAATACTGTGGAGATGTCAATGCTACCTAGAGCAATCTACACATTTAATACAATCCCTATCAAAATGCCATCCACTTTTTTCAAAGAAATGGAACAAATAATCCTAAAATTTGTATGGAACCAGAAAAGACCCCGAATAGCCAGAGGAATGTTGAAAAAGAAAAGCAAAGCTGGCGGCATCACAATTCCGGACTTCCAGCTCTATTACAAAGCTGTCATCATCAAGACAGTATGGTCCTGGCACAAAAACAGACACGTAGATCAATGGAACAGAATCGAGAGCCCAGAAATGGACCCTCAACTCTATGGTCAACTAATCTTCGACAAAGCAGGAAAGAATGTCCAATGGAAAAAAGACAGTCTCTTCGACAAATGGTGTTGGGAAAATTGGACAGACACATGCAGAGGAATGAAACTGGACCATTTCCTTACACCACACACAGAAATAGACTCCAAATGGTTGAAAGACGTAAACCTGAGACAGGAGTCCATCAACATCCTAAAGGAGAACACAGGCAGCAACCTCTTCAACCTCAGCCACAGCAACTTCTTCCTAGACACATCGCCAAAGGCAAGGGAAGCAAGGGCAAAAATGAACTATTGGGACTTCATCAAGATAAGAAGCTTTTGCACAGCAAAGGAAACAGTCCACAAAACCAAAAGACAACTGACAGACTGGAAGAAGATATTTGCGAAGGACATATCAGATAAAGGGCTAGTATCCAAAGTCTATAAAGAACTTATGAAACTCAACACCCAAAGAACAAATGATCCAATCAAGAAATGGGCAGAAGACATGAACAGACATTTTTCCAAAGAAGACATCCAAATGGCCAACAGACACATGAAAAAGTGCTCAACATCGCTTGGCATCAGGGAAATCCAAATCAAAACCTCCATGAGATATGACCTCATACCAGTCAGAATGGCTAAAATTAACAAGTCAGGAAACGACAGATGTTGGCGGGGATGTGGACAAAGGGGAACCCTCCTTCACTGTTGGTGGGAATGCAAGCTGGTGCAACCACTCTGGAAAACAGTATGGAGGTTCCTCAGAAAGTTGAAAATAGAGCTACCATACGACCCAGCAATTGCACTAGTGGGTATTTACCCCAAAGATACAAATGTAGGGATCCGAAGGGGTATGTGCATCCTGATGTTTATAGCAGCAATGTCTGCAATAGCCAAACTGTGGAAAGAGCCAAGATGTCCATCGACAGATGAATAGATAAAGAAGATGTGGTATATATGTACAATGGAATGTTATGCAGCCATCAAAAGGAATGAAATCTTGCCATTTGCAACGACATGGATGGAACTGGAGGGTATTATGCTGAACGAAATAAGTCAGTCAGAGAAAGACACGTATCATATAACCTCACTGAGGAATTCTTAATCTCAGGAAACAAACTGAGGGTGTGGGGTGGGAGGGATGGGGTGGCTGGGTGATAGACATTGGGGAGGGTATGTGCTATGGTGAGTGCTGTGAATTGTGTAAGACTGTTGAATCACAGACCTGTACCTCTGAAACAAATAATACATTCTATGTTAAAAAAAAAAAAAAAGATAGTAGGAAGGGAAAAATGAAGGGGGGGAATTGGAGGGGGAGATGAACCATGAGAGACTATGGACGCTGAGAAACAAACTGAGGGTTCTAGAGGGGAGGGGGGTGGAGGGATGGATTAGCCTGGTGATGGGTATTAAAGAGGGCACATATTGAGTGGAGCACTGGGTGCTATACGCAAACAATGAGTCATGGAACACTACATCAAAAATGATGATTCACATAACATAATAAAATAAAAACTGACCCTCTCCCTTTAAAAGGTCGAATTTGATTATAGGCTCTGGATTACACTGTAACATCACCTTTCCTCCTCTCTGTCTTTTCTCTGGACTTAACACTTTCTAGTAAAATCATACAAAAGAGAATATAGTATTTACTTTCAAGATTTGCTTAAAAATCTAAAATGTAAGAGGAAAAAAGAAAATGTGTTCCTTTTATGTGGATCACTATCTTGTTCAGTGTTTGGTCTTGATATTTACATATGCTTTGGGCAGCTGAGCACATGCCAAGTTGATATGTCTTTTATTCAACAGAAGGAATAGCTGGTGATTGTAGAAAGGAACCCTAGATAGGAAACATGGATGTAGAATCTAGTTTATAACATACATTGGTATTTGTATGTTCCCTCTTCTTCAAGTTATTAAACATACTCCAGCGTGTGTTGTGAAGATAGAACTAAATGGCGATTTTACTATGGAGTAATAGTTTGCATAATTCTGTATTATACTAATGGGCGTATCATTTGCTTAGAGTATTACACTACCCCTTTGTTCCTGGTATTTTTACCATAAAATTAGAATTAGGAAGGGAAATCATAGGACGGGCTGGGATATTTGGTTTGAGTTATTTACCGTCTATCTAAGATAAGAAATTACTTAAAATGCCACGGTAGCAGCTGGCACAGCTCCTCTCTTGCTGTTTCGAGCAAAATACTGCTTTAAGCACAACAGCATGCCCATTAGGAGGGGGAGGAAGGAACCCCCAGAAACTAAGTTCTTTGGACATGGTCAGGTTCAATTCCCTCATTTGGCAGATGTGGAAACTAAGGCACAAAATACTTACGTGTCTTGATTAGCAAACCATTACAAGGTGGTGGTTCTATTTTAGAAGGTGTTTTTAGGTGTAAAAGAAGATTATTATATATTAAACTCTGTTGTGTGAGTCCCTTATGAGCTGAGACAAACTCCTTTTTCAACTGTCAGGGGAAACAGGAGGAAGCAGGAAGAAGCTGTGACTTTTCACTGGTGAGGGAGGGAGAGATGAGGCTCCCAGCCTCCCTCCAGCCCCGCCCACGGCTTGTCCCGTGTGGGACCCGCCCCCAGGTCCCTGAGGAAGCCTCTAATGTAGTTGTCACTGTTCACTCAAAAGGGGCTGACAGGGTTCTGAGAAAGCAGAGAAGGGCTCTTGCTCATGGAAGAATGGATACATCCAGGGGTTCTGGAGGCAGAGCAGGGGCCCTGGGTAGAGATAGGAAGGCAGAGGGAAGGAGAAAAAAAAATCCGCTTCCATTATTAGATCATCCTTCCCAGAGATTAAAATATAGATCCAGCTGATGCAGAAGATTCATTTTTCTGAAATTAAATGTGTCTAAGTTATATAATTATTAGATCATTACTTTAATGTCATTTTATGGCCATCTGTGGCAAAAAACCTAATAGGAATAAAACCTGTGATCATTACAAATAAGTTTTGGCTTCCAGTTAAATGTTCATTTTGAACCATCTTTGTGGTAAATGGAAGTCGTCTATTAGGACTGTGCAGTAGGACTGTGTTTGGATTGCATGCATGTTTCCCTTTTTTTTTTTTATTGTGTTTCTGTGCAGCCTTTCACCATAGATAGCATCCTAGTTTTTGTGCCTAGCAAAGGTAATTACACTGAATGATGGGACCTTGCCATTTTCTGTTTGCAGAACAATCAACCATGACGACCGAATCTGGCTCAGACTCGGAATCCAAGCCTGAGCAGGAGGCCGAGCCCCAGGAGGCGGCGGGGGCGCAGGGGCACGCGGGGGCTCCGCAGGGCCCGGGGCCCGAACCCAGCGGCGAGGAGCAGCACCAGGCCCTAGAGCAGTTCGAGGCCGCGGCGCACAGTACCCCTGTGAGGAAGGAGGTGAGCCCTGGGACCCAGGCCGCCACCGGCTCCCCCACACCTGCTAGCATTGCCCAGAAACCCAATTCAGGAATGTTTATTGACCTTTTCCAGGGTCGGGGCCGACCTTGGTCTCTTAGCACTAGAGGAAACTATGAGGGGTTGTCTGTTTACCCCTTCTGGTCCCAGGCAGATGGAAACTTATGCTATTTTAAGACTTCCAGTGAATGACATTCCACAACCTTGCTTGGTAACTCCTTCATTTGATTAAAGCACTTAAACCCACCCTGAAATCTGGACTACAGGTTATTGGTTTTATCTGGGTTTACAGGAAGGCTAGACACCACACCAAAGGCTTTAATTAGGCTCCTAACTTTTGTTCAGGCTTAGGGGTTAGAGCTCTTTTGATTCTTCCCAGGGGTCACTCTGATCCTAGTGTTGCCAGCGACTTTTAGTGAATGTTCAGCTGGGTCTCTTTCCCTCCCTTATGTGCGTGTATGTTCAACTCCATTATCTAGACATACTTAAGTTGTCACATGTAATGTGACTATTTTAAAAGTTTTCATACAAAATATAAAGCATGGTTTATAGTTGGGCTTTGAATGAATCCATGTTTAAATTATTTTGGCTTGAAACTTCAAACCTGAAATAACATGTGTTAGGGTACCGACTCATGCTATGGTAAGGAGATCTGGGAGTCCCTGCAAACGATTGACCTTTTTCTAGGTTGGAAGTATATGTGTCAAGCTAGAAATTGTACAAGATGTTGAGAGAAGAGACACGAAATCAGCATGTTAGTGAAATTCTTTGGAAGGCACAACACATTATTATAACATTAAACTATGTTTACAACCTGATTATTTCTTTTCCCTTGGTATTTATGTTCTGCTTTTAAGCAGTATTAAAAATAACATTTATTTTCATGTTCTGTAAATAGATGCTGTGTCTGATATAAAATGTTTCATGATGGGGAGCTGGAGGTTATCCTTCCAGCTTATAACAAAATCTAAGGGGCCATTGTCATCATGGTTTTCCTTCACCGTTTATTTTTTTGGAGGTGTGAGGATGGTGGCGTTTTGATTTTTTTTAAACCTTCAGCAATTTAAAATTACTAGACTGGATTTTTTTCCCCCGTTCTTTCCTCTTAACTCTGAAATGAAATAAATGTGAGAGTGGGAGATAATTGTACAGAAGAAAGAGTTTTTGGGCCAAGACGTGATACATGTGTTTTATCTTCTGGAAATCAGATGTCTAAAACAAAATGAGAGAAATGATACTAAAGCCCTTTGAGGGAAGGGTAACTGGCTGCGGAGCCAGGAGAACTATTTAATCCTACCTTTTCCCTAGTTATTTTAGGGATCTCAGAGAACGCATTCAGCCTCTGAGCCTCAGCTTCCTTGTTCACAAGATGAAGAGATCAGAAAAGATCGTTTTCTCAGGTTCTTCTGCTCTTGGCTCCTTGATTCAGGCTAGGAGCCCAGTTGTGTTGGAGGTGAAATGAAGTACATTTTGGTAGTCCGTGACGATGAAAACACATGAGCTTGGCTGGATTTGAATTCCAGGCTACTAGTTTTATGGAGGAAGTTTGTGGAGACTGTACCCTTTGTCCTTTTCTCTCCCATGTGTTAAATGAGGGTAAGGAGACCTAGATACCTACCTCCCAGAGCTGTCATGAAGAGTCATTGAAACAGAGGTTTTGCCAAAAGGGTTGATACTGATTTTTTTTTTAAAGATTTTATTTATTTATTTGACAGAGACACAGCGAGAGAGGGAACACAAGCAGAGGGAGTGGGAGAGGGAGAAGCAGTCCTCCCGCAGAGCAGGGAGCCTGATGCGGGGCTCGATCCCAGGACCCCGGGATCATGACCTGAGCCAAAGGCAGACACTTAATGACGGAGCCACCCAGGCACCCCGATACTGATATTTTTAAATTGTAATGAATTATATGTGACTACAGTGGACGTTTCATTTGAGGTCCTTGGTCTGCTCTTCTGAAGTTGTTGAAAATACGTGCATGAGAGGCTCAGTGAGGGGTTCGTGCTTTAAATGTTTTGGAAAAAACACCTCCGTTCCAACGCTGGTGGTTTCAGGGGTGTCTGGAGTTGACCTATAAGTAGCCCAGAAAGCTTAGTCTCATACAGATACTTTTATTTTATTAGAGGAAAAATGAAATTTCATCTTCCTCAATACAGAGAAAAAGTTGATTCCAGGTAGTGAGATTTAAATAAAAATGTAGCTTCTGTTGACTTTTCCTGTAATGAAATGAAAATGTGAATTAAAAGTGCAAAAGTCTTAGGGTACCTGGGTGCGCTGCAGTTGGTTAAACATCCGACTCTTGGTTTCAGCTCAGGTCATGATTTTAGGGTCCGGAGATTGAGCCCTCACCACCCCCCAGGCTTGGGGCTTGAGATTCTCTCTCCCCCTCTCCTGCCCTTACTCCCACTTGAACTCTCTCTCTCTAGTATAAATAAATCTTTAAAAAAGAGCTAAAGTCTTATGTAAGTTATAAGCACTTAGCAAATATATGATATAAAATTCCAAGGTTACCAGGGTGCCTGGGTAGCTCAGGTAAGCGGTCGACTCTAGATTTCAGCTCAGGTCATGATCTCAGGGTCCTGAGATTGAGCCCTGTGTCTTGTTCTGCCCTCAGTGGGAATCTGCTTGAGATTCTCTCTCTCCTTCTGCCCCTCCCCCCATGCTTGCTCATGTGTGCTCCCTCTCTCTTTCTCTCTCAGTAAAATAAAGAAATCTTAAAAAAAAATTGCAAGGTTACCGAACTTCTTCAACTAGCTTAAGGCCAAAATTGTTTGACTTTTTTGCAGCACTATTTTAATACTTTGATATGAAAAACTAATAGTCAAAAAAAAAAGTTGGACCAAGTTGCCAGAGCAGGTTTTCTTTTATTTACTTGTTTTAGCTACCTCTAGCCTTTCAACTATTTTGGCCTTTGAAGTTGTTTTTTCAGTTTTTTCATGGTCTCTTCACTCAGCAAATTGGTCTTTTTATTCTGAAGAACGTCTCACAACTTTGCCCTGAATGCCTGTGTAAAATAGTGGAGGAAAGGACTGTATTTATAATTTGGAGGGAAAACCAGATAGAAAATGACTTTATAAAAGCAGAAATCCATACCTAAAATCCAAAATAAATATACCAGAAGATAACTTTGTGATTAGTGTCATAAAATTGTAGTCACTAATAAGAAAGAAAAGTTGAAGTGATAAATCTAAATAAACCTTTATTGTCAAGGTCATGTGCTTTTGGCTACTAGAAAGATAGTATGTTTGTGAGAGAAGAAATTTCGTGCTCACTCAAGGGGCCTAAACTGAATTTTGCAACATGTCTTTCTTTGGTCTGTCAGTGTGCATTTGCAGACTAGTGGAAATGATAGTCTGGTCCATGAGTTGAATTTGCACATTAATACCATTGGTGGTCATTTAATAGAAGAGAGCATTGTATGGTGACAGATGCTAGCTATGCTTGCGGTGAGCACAGCATAATGTATTGAGTTGTTTAATCACTATTTTGTACAGGTGAAATTATTTGTAATATTGTGTCAACGGTACTTCAATGAAATATATGTATGTAAACACACACATATATAAAGCCGGGAGGTGTAAAGAGATTAGTTGCACAGAGAGATTTCCAAGGGTATTTATTGATTCAAGGGAGAATTAACTGTTCCTCAGGACATATTCTGCAGTTCTAAGTCTAGCCTGGACTACATTGTTGTACTTTGAAAGCAGATTAAAGCTTTTGGACAGATGTGATCTGCTCTTACACTGGCTCATTACAGTGAGGGGGGAAACAGATTAAGGGGATTACTTTGTGATGAATTTCAGTGCTGCTGGCTTCATTGAATGGATTTAGAGCTGTAACAGTTGTAAAATTACTGAGAAGATTAATACTTGAAGCTCTCTAGGCCTTAAAGTTTATAAGATACCTTATATGTATGTGCGGTGTTGTGGGTCATAGAATATAGAAGGATCCAGTGAATGAAGAAAATAGAGTACAGTAGATAAAATCTAAATGATTTATTTTATTTTATTTTAAAGATTTTATTTATTTATTTGACAGAGAGACACAGCGAGAGAGGGAATACAAGCAGTGGGAGTGGGAGAGGGAGAAGCAGGCTTCCCGCCGAGCAGGGAGCCCAATGCGGGGCTCGATCCCAGGACCTGGAATCATGACCTGAGCCAAAGGCAGACGCTTAACGACTGAGCCACCCAGGCGCCCCCTAAATGATTTATTTTAAAGACCTGTACTGTCTAATGCCTTTTTAAAAAGTCAGGAGTCCGTTTGTATCCTCCTTTGCTTAGTGAAGTCTTGATGGCATTTGCTAACTCCATGCTTCTAAATTAAACCCTCAGGTCAAACTGAAATGCAGCCCCGTTGGTACATTTAAATGGCAAAAGTTAAACAACATTTAGGTGAAACCATTAGCATTATAAATATCCCTGTATGCGTACTTGCCCATTCACAGTCTCCTGATGCAAACATCTCTCCTGCTCTGGGAAATAGGAAGGCCTACGTCTAAAGGGTTTTGCTCTTGCCTGAGCAATGCAATATTTATTTCCTGTCTTGCAGTGAAAACTGTTCATTGTTTGCTCTTCACAGGTCACTGACAAGGAACGGGAGTTCGCTGCTGGGGCTGCAAAACAGCTCGAATATCAGCAATTGGAAGACGATAAACTTTCTCAGAAATCATCTAGCAGTAAACTATCTCGATCTCCATTAAAGATTGTCAAAAAGCCTAAAAACATGCAGTGCAAAGTGATACTTCTGGATGGATCAGAATATACCTGTGATGTGGAGGTGAGTGCATATTTAAAAATCTTTTTTGTCCCAGGTATTGAGAACTGGAGAATGTTGGTATGAGACATACAAGATGCATTCTTGTTTTCATAACTCTGGAAAGTTATTCAGACCCAGTTTCTAAATACAAAATTCTTTCCAAAGTCTCTAACAGGAGATCAAATTACTGAAAGTACTTATAATGTCTCCAAAATGTTACAATCAAAAGAAAAATGTGATCTTAATTAAAAAAAAAATCTCTAACACTTTCCATGGTAGGAAAAAAAACTGGGGGCCTCAAAAATCGGGTTTTTCTTCAATATCTTATGAGCTATCATTTAAATGAATTTACTTTTTCTACTTGAGTAGTTTTACTTTTTCTATTCAAATAATTTTACTCTTCCTATTTTAAATTATTTAATAATATCTTTTTTATTTGAATCATTGCAACTTTTAATTGGTATGGACTTGTAAATTTCTGTACATAGCATTGGTAGATTGGTGGGATCATTTGAACGGTGAATGTCCTCCTCTTAGAGTCATTTTTTAAATGTACATCACGGTGGGCATTGCAGCCTGAGTGTAAAGGGGTCTACTATCCTTTGTTCTTTTTGTAAAGAAAACTAAAATCCCTGTCAGAGAAGGAGCAGTTGAATGACTTTTGTCAGAGATGCTTAGCAAGACCAAGTTAACAGATGAGAACAACACGAACCTGTCCATAGCAGTGGAGACGGGTGGATTCTCCATGTGTCGCGGAGAACACACACACAGGGCTGAAACCTGTGAACTGAAACCACAGGAGCGGGTCTGGGTGTGCAGGAGCCACGGCACCTTCTCCCCACAGCTCGGAGGGGGCAGCTTGCTCTTTCAGCAAGGTGATTCAGCTTCAGATTGAATGTTTTCATCGCAAGAGCTTATTCCTCCTGCTTCAGCCGCCTGCCCTTCGTCACACGGGGACATCACGCAGCCCTCCCCACCAGCCCCTCCCATCACATGTCTACACAGTTCACCTCTTCTGCTCTGTGTGCTGCGCGGCTCTCCCAGGTGCCACAGGCAGTGTATATGTGTCGTCCTGCATTTCTAATCCTCCGAAGACCCCGCCAGCACCAAGCCCGCCTGACTTCCCATGTTCCTCATTCACCCCTCTCTGCTTCCTCTGTCTACAACCCCTCATCATTCCTGTTCTGTGTGGCATAATGCAGTTCTGCACCCAGTCCTTTTCTTGAGTCATAAGATTCAAATCCATTTCATGTTGATAATGCCATTTATGGTGGGGATGGGGTTGCTTTACTAATTTTAGATTTGCAGGAACATAGAGGAAAAGATTTTTTGAAAAGAAATTCTTAGATCAAATGTTACCGTATCCTATATTAATCGATAGAATTTTTGTCACCCTGTCACCTGACAAATACTGATGGGCTGCTGCAGGGAGGGCAAGGCATGTTCTGAGGGTCCTGCCTAAGGTGTGCCATGCACAGATCCATCTTTTACATTTTTTTGGCTTTGATTTTGGCTGATTTCTGAGCTCAAAGTGTCCAATTACTGATTGAGAGATTTATTCTGGAAATTGGGAGATCCGAAAATGTACTCCTACCTGGGTTTTACTCCGAAGCTTAAAGGACTTTTGTAACCATGAGAGACATTGTATTTTTCCAGGGTGGATCCACTTTCTGAGAAATTGATCTAAGTGAAGCTTTTTTCTTAATTTTGAGGAGAGTCTTTCTGTTGATTGTATTATTAATGGAATAAATAGGGTTACCTGGCAGTCATCTAGTCATGGCTACCAGAATTTTCTAAAGAAGAATCTAGAAGAGAGTTTATAGTGTTTTGTGTGGATGGAATAAATGCCTCAGGGCTGACTGAGGTACATGTAAATGTTGATCATGTTAAACTTAATTTATAGCCCATGCTTCAAATATGTAATAGATACGATCTGTATTTTTTGTAGAGTTCAGAATTTTTATGTTGTAATTAACTTTGGATATAATTCAGTGTTACTTTTAATGTCACTGTGAACATTTTGAGTGACATGGCAATTTTGGTCAGTTATTTTCTTTTATAGTAATTTTTTATAAAGTTTACAGATTCTTTTTTTTTTTAAGATTTTATTTATTAGAAGGCACACAAGCAGGAGCAGGGGGCAGAGGGAGAGGGAGAAGCAGACTCCTCACTGAGCAAGGAGCCCCACACGGGGCTCGATCCCAGGACCCTGAGATCATGACTCAAGCCAAAGGCAGACGCTTAACTGACTGAGCCACCCAGGCACCCTACAGTTGATAGATTCTTAAGAATTAAGAGTAATTCTCTTTTTCTGGGACACAAAATCCTTGGCCAGCAGAGTATTTTCAGTTTTACAACAGACATTGGTAGTTGAAAAAAATGTGGTCACTACTGACTGGCATACTTGTGGAGAAAATAGAGAAATTTGGGCATGGTAATGACTGCTTGAATAAGAAAAGTGGATCGTGAATCAGCTACATGGTTCTCAAGGTGGCAACAAGATATAGCTGAAAATGCATATTCAAAGGGACTGTGGACTTTAGATACAAACTGTGGAACATAAAACCTTGGCTGGCAGTGTGCATGGGGTATAGTAGGTAAATGGTGGTTGAAAAACATTGCCGTAGGGAAGGTGTCCTTCGGTTTCACTCTCCTCTACACGGAGTTTTTATCAACGTCTTGGATGAAGGCACACGCATAACAAATAGCTGAACAATATTTTTAAGTGACTAAGAGCCCATGTGCCAAAATACGGGTTTCTCATGAAGTGGACAGTGTGTGACATGGAAACAAAGTAGCAAGATAATGTTTAGCAGGAAGGGAGGCCAGACTTCATTCTGTTTGTAAGGATCAGATGCAAAATAGAAATGTGTCGGGGGGAAGAGGTGGTCAGACTTAATGACAGTTTGGGTGAAACTAATCTTTGGGTTTAAGTCGATTACAAACTCAGCGTTAACCAGCAGTGTGGTGTAGCTGTCAGAAACTTCCATGCGGTCACAGTGGCTTCTGTGGAAAAGCAGCGTGTGGTTTCCCCGAATGTGGCCAGTGCCCAGATCCTGGGCCGGAGAGATCCCATCCCCTGTGTCTTATTCATGAGTTCATGCAGGATAGCGCTCTTTGGAACCACCAGACCCAGGTGTGAAAACAGATTTATCTGTTTGTAACCCATGTGATTTCAAAGAACTTTAGCTTTCTGAACCTTGGTTTTCTGACCAGAAAAATGGGAGTGAAAATACTTGTCTCAAAAAGCCATTATTGTGAAGATTAAAGCAGGTGCTTAATTTAAACCCTTTCTGCAACATAACATATTCTTAATAAATGGTAGCTATTTAATGGAATAACAGTGAACTCTTGAGCTTTTTCAGCAGAGAGATATAGGATGGTGAGTGATCTGGAAACCTCTTATGAAGAATGATTAGAGAAATAGAATGTTTTAAATAAAAAAAAATTTCCACTTGTCCCCTTCTAGATTTGGAGGGGAGAGGATAGCTACTTCCAGTTAGTTGGAAAATTTGACATTGAATGTCATAACATACATTGTTTAAGGTATAGAAAGTAAAACTAAGGTAGAAGTTATGGGAGGTCCGATTTTTAAGCAAACAGAAAACATGTTTTAAATTATTGCTGTCAACCTTGTGATATGTGTTCTGTAGGAGTATTCCAGCAGAAACTGTAGGTGCATTTATGGAAACCATCAGCCCCTCAGATGCAATCTCAGACCAGACAACTTCCAGTGCCCCTTCCTATCTAAGATTCTTCAACACATACAGTTGTAGGTGAATTAAGGAAAGTAACAGATGTAACATTTTTTGCATTTAATAAGGCATCAAAAAAGGCATTTTAATGAAATCTCTATGCCTAAGTGCTTTCCCCCATGGCTTATTTGATGCCTTTATAACTTCACCATCAAAATCAACAAAGCTCACCTCTGCCATGACTTCATCATGAGAATTTATAGTCACATATAAAGGACCCCCTGTCAACACACACACACACACACTGTCATACACATGCACGTACGCACACACATACATACTCCTACCTTGGACTAGCACAGCCCAGTTCTCTCTCTCTTTTTTTTTTTTTTTTTGAAACCACAAGGCAGCATTTCCCCTCGCCGCATGGTGCTGCAGTGGGACAGAGCCAGCGACCTGACAAAGCAAGATACAGGATTGGTTGACGTCTGACGCCAGTGACTGAACCCTTAAGTCTTCAGTTCCTCTCTCTTCATGTATAGATAGAAGCCTTTTCCAATCGTGCTGGCTTTTTCATACTTCTCTTCAACAGTAGGCTTAGATAATTGTAGCATTCAGTGTTTTTCCATTTGACTATTTCCTCAATAATTTTCTTCAAACTCTTAAGTCTTGATCATCTAAAATATAAGAAAATTTCATTATGAGTAAAATAGAAGAAAAGATCTTCTTAGAAGACCATCTTTTAAGCATCTTGATATATATGTTTGGCAAATGTTTACACGCTACCCTATTTTCATGTATGCCCCGCAGAATTACTAATACTGCTACTCCCTTCTTATTTCTGTTGGACCGTTAGAGAACACCAGCAACTTCCTGTAGCCAATTTACTATCATGGTTGCTGTTTATTTCTCGGACATGAATTTTAAGAGAGAAAGTAAAGAAAAATATCCCAATCACATGCAGTGAAGGAAATCATGCTCACCACATCTTAGTCACGTTGCCTCTGTGTTCTGTGGACTCATTTCAGTCTGACTGATTAGCACAAAATGTATTTCCTAATGACCATCCAATTAGAAATGTTTTCTCTTGTTTGGCCACCATTCTAATCTAGTCTTATTTGGTTTTAGGAAAATAAGTCAGACATGATCTGAAATTTGAGTCCATATTTCATAATACAAGTTTGCTGCTCCTTTCGCAAAATGTTTAAGCTGTCTTATGGCGTAGTTTGATTTGTTTTCCCCCAAGAAACCCGATTGGAGGAGGAGTCTAGTGCATCACTGGAAAAACTATAGAGGGTTTAGCTTGCAGGTGTGACTTACGAGGAA